TCAGTTTTAGCCCAGAAGAGTAGAAGTTACTTAATATATTCATGTTTATGTGCTGTCCAGAAAAAAGTACTTAAATATTACTGGTAAAATAATATTAGAATTTACGTTTTTTTGTACAGTACTACTGATATATCATATAATGTGTATTGTTTATTCAGTAAATCCTAGTCGTTTAGAAATTTAGATATTTTTGTAAAATTTAAAAGAATAATTAAATAAATGTTACTACACCCAAAAATCCTTTTTTTCAGTGTAGTTTCCAACAACGGCACAGAAAAGAAAAGCAAAGCAAAGCAGCAGGAGTTGCTTTGCTACTTTTCATTTCCTCATTTGCATAAAAGATTGACACAGGCTAGTTAATGGAGAGGAACACGTGCAGTCCAGGTGAACAAAGCCCATAGCTCAGACAAATTTAATTAGAAATTACACTAAACGTCTCCCCTGACTGAGATTGATGAGCTCTGACAAATACAAATAAACAGCACCCAGCTTCAAACCATACCGGCCCTCCCCAGTGCCCTCCCCCACATCCGCCTCCATTTTCCCATGTTTGCATCTTAAATAAAGGGAATTTAAATGTCTCATTTCACTGATTTTGTGCTAATTTAAAAGCTTCCAACATCTTATTTATCACTCCCACATTTCCACCTAATCATATCATCTCCCTGTGGGTAACTTCATGCCCCCCCACTTTTTGGCATGCCTGTGCCAGGTATTTGTTGAAATTCCTCACACCCCATAGGGATAGGTATGTCCACCCACCACCACCTCTATTTCTCTTTTGGTCTTTTACTGCCCATCTCTGTCCATCACGCCAGCACATGTATGAAACAGCTCACATGGACACCCCCCACACCCTGTCACCCCCCTAGCTAGAGTCACAGCTAAATCATTCCCAACTTGTTCAGCCTCTTGACGCTGGCGGAAAAAAAAACCTCAGCTGTGGGTTCGACAAACGGCTGAGCCAAAAACAACGGAGCGGCTAACAGGCGACTGCGAGCTGCCTTTGATAACAGCTGAAAGGCCCGTTTATTCTGAGCGTCTACCAGTTCAGCTCCGCTCCGACGTGGAGACATGTTGACACAGGCGGGCAGCTGGATAATTAATTTCCTCTAAAGCTTAAACACCAGATCGTTGCCGTATAAAATCCCTCATGGGGTGGCTGACGTTTGAACACGAGCTCTTGTGGTATTGACATTGGGTCAGAGTTGAAGTGTTTAATTATCGTTGCGTGCCATGAAACGATACTCGGTCTCAGCATGGTCCAACCTGTGAAATCCGCTCTGAATGATGTAGCTGCACGAGGAAAATTGTGTCATTTTGTTCTCAGAATCTTGTTGCCCACCCCTTCTTGTCACAAACCTCTGGGATGAGCATTTAGCCCCCCAACAGCATTCGAAACATTGAATAATTGGCAGTGGTGGGTACAGTTTCAAAAAGCGGGACTAGCGATTATGTACCATATTTATTCGAGTATAATACGTAAAATTAAATCCATAAAATCATCCATAAATTTGAGGGGTAGTACTATACTCAGATAAATATTTTTACTTATGTATTTTAACTGAAATGTCGGCTTCATTCACAAAATGCCTGAGTCCTTAAATGAGACGGCGTCGCAAAAAGCGGTTGAAACGAGCTCACCTGTGACACTCCTCTGTGCTTCAGAGTGAGATAATAACAGATCCAGGCAGGAGACATGATGTGAAAAAAGGGGTAAAAAAAGTAGTCCTGCACCTCAGTAATGATAACAAACTAATGACATTAGTGTGTGACCGAGCCGCTCCTCGAACAACAACAAACACATGTTCGTCTGTAATGGCTGGCGTCTACCGGTGTTCTGAAAAAGTTTGCATCCCTGAAAAAAGTTTTCCCACCAGAGGGGGCGCTCGCGAGTAGGAAGTAATCTGCTTTTCCCCCACAAGATGGCCCAAATCTCATGTGAAGTCTCTGACTTTTGTGTTGGYGCCTCCTGGTGGACTATGTGTAAAATGCCAGAATTCATATGATGCTGCTACAGCTGATATGTATTTGTTGTCAAAATACCTTTTAGTACATATGTTGTTAAAATAAAATGAACAGTCCAATAATCATTTTACTGATATGTATAAAGACTGCAAAGGCTGAAAAATCTTGAAGTCTGTATGAAATTGGAGGTAGTTTGAGGATTAATTTCTTTTGCTCTTTAAGCTCAGAAAAGGGGGGGGGGGGTCATGTTATATATGAGATCGTATTATACATGAATAAATACGGTATAAAATATGGTAGAGAAAATATTTGCTAATTGTTTTTTGACACTTCAAATGGTATTTATAAAAATACAGGCTCGATTTAGAAATGCTTTTATTGTGAAAGGGATAAACTAGAGGTATAACAATTTAGACAGAGCTATAACTCTGGTTTGGATTGGCCAATTGGCCACAGACGACACCACACACCTTTAAATTAAACCAATAGAACACTAGCAAGTTTGTGTCAGAGACACAGACTGAGTCTGTCATCTTAGCAGTTAGCGTTAGCTTCCACTAATGTTTTAATCTGTTTAGCGTTAGCAGAGCTAAGATTCTTGTTTAATGGATTAGTGGTTAGCTGTGTTCATCTCTGCATTTAATCTACAGAAACGCTACATCAGGGCTGTTCAACTAAATTACTCCGGGGGCCACAGTTACTGCAGACCAACAGCTGAGGGCCTGAACATCCAGCAATTAAATCCTCATGTAAATAAACCAAGTATTACAAAAATCTGTTACCTTTGAAATAGTTTATTTTGCTGCATTTAATCATGAACACAACATACAAAACCCTATGTAATGATAGTAGTTATAATAATACAACAACAAAACAAAAATAATGCATTCTGCCTCATATTTAACACAAATATTATTTTTGACAGCTCTGACTTGCCAAATTTTTAAACCAATTTTATTTTCACTTTCATAGTTTCTTCAACTGCTTGTAGTTTTAACTGTCTTGGATGTTCATAGATATGATTTGCAGCTTCTAGCCAAGATTCTGACGTTTCTGTAGACACCAAACGTATCCATGTTTAAAAGAACTTAGAGGATTTAAAGTAGAAAACTGGGGCTTTGGACTTAAGAGATGAATGAACCAATTGGCGGGCCGCACTTTGGTCAGTCGCGGGCCGTATGTGGCCCGTGGGCCACTAGTTGAATAGGCCTGTTATAGGTTTCATTTTTAGGAGTAGCCTTAAACTACTAAAAATGTAGATAAATAGCTGTTTTGTCAGTTTTCGCTTTTTATTAAGACTTTGTGGGGAAAAATTAACAATTTAACAAATCAGTTTTTACAGTGCAGTTTGTTTCTTTTTCTTTCTTTCTTTTTTTTTTTTGTCTTTGTCATAAGTCCCCCATCCTACATAGCAGACAGTTGTGGGCCAGATCTGGCAATGATGGCACTGTTTTTAAGATGCCATGACTGGCCCAAAGCATGAGGGTCTGGAAAACCACATCTGGGCCATCAAACCAGTGGTTTTCTTTGTGGTATCTGGATCGTTCAGTGCTTTGTGTGGGCCAGAACTGGGACAGACAAATTTTGCTAAGTGCGCATGTTTTATAAAAGAAAACTTCAGAACTTGACTATTATGCAGGAATATTGGTCAAAAGATTTTCATATAATTTCTTTAAAAAGTTAACATTTAGATTTAAGTTTGTTTGGGCCAAAGGTATTTATCAGGTTTTGTCAAACTATGATCAAACCCACATTTAATCCTCCTTAATGTGGCCACAATGTAAAAGTTTAAAGCTGACATTACTGTTGACTTTACATGTGTTTGACTGTAAATTCTTGTTCTTAGCTCTGCTTTGGTCTGCTGCTGCTGCTGCCCGAGTCATAATTCAAAGCAGCTGAAATGAGCAAACTGTAATTATTAAACATTTGGAATAAAAGCTGCCAAAACAGTTTCTGAACATTGTGCACATAATTCCCCCGAAGCGCTGAGGAATAAAATCTGATTCATTGTAAAACTCTGGGAAAATTATTGATGAAATGTGGGTTCTGTGAAGCCCGGTTCAGGTCAGAACAACTTATTATTAATATTCAGGCGGTGGGTCGGGGTGAGCCCCTGGCTTCTGTTTCACCATCCCACCCCCTTTTTGATCCTCACACACACACACACACACTCCCCCTCAGACCGACTCACACACACCAGAGGACACTGCGCAGCGCTGAAGACTCAACAAGACAGCGGGGATCTGATCTGAAACTTAAAACACAGATAAGCCTCATTTCAACACAAAATAATTACCTTTTTTTCCCACTGCAGAAGAATCTCAAGATTAAACATGACGAGAGGAGAATGTTTCACTTTAACAACTTCAAGAAAATTGACATTTTAGCGTCCAGGATCACACAGACGTACAGTAAGTTTTAACAAATATTTCTGTTTAGTCAGATATTATATGCATGAGACAAAGAAGTGAAAATAAACCTAATATTAAAAGTATTAGAGCTCAAACTGGGCCCTTTGCTAATGTTTTTTCATGCATTTATTTCTGATGGATTCCCACACAAATTCATTTATGAATGTTTTGTAAAAGCTTGTAGTAAAATAACATATATCCTTTTTGTACGTTTTAGATTGAGAAATAACTGCTTTTCATAAAAAAGCTGAAAAGTTATTTATTGTTTGAAGATAAAATAACTATATTTATGTTTAAGTGGATGCCCAGTGATTATAAATGGGTTATTTAAAGAGGATTCTGCTGCTCTGAACACGTTTCTGACATCACTTCATGACAAAATCCTTTTATTTTTATTTATTAATTTTTTTTCCAAGAACACAGCTCCAGACTTCGAGTCCCGCTGTGTTCTGACTCGACAAATTTACAGTGACCGGTCTCGATCCAAACCACCAGAGCGCAAAAAACACACAACGGGTTACAAGAAGAAATCTAAACAAAATCCTGACAGTTTGTGGTTTTTTATTAATAAGATATAAGATCTGCTCAGTTTCAACTGATTGTTTCCCAAATGTTGACCTCGAGAAAAAGGATTTACTATCTTCAACTGGAGACACACACACACACACACACACACACACACACACACACACAC